GGGAGCCCTGAGGGCCCATAGTGATCAAGACAACTGGGCCCTCCTTCCTCTCTGGTCAACAGAGGGGCCCTGGCCAGGCATGACCCCCCCAGAGTTCATGAACTGTCCTGGGTTTCACCGAGAAACTCCTCGCCCCTCAAGAGAACATATCCTCTGTGTGTTCCTGCTGCCTGTGAAAGCCTGTTCTGACAGTAACACCCAGTGAAGGAAAGATTCAAGATGTGGTGCTGGGGTCCAGGGGCATGCCCACATTTTGTGGCTACCTGTTCCCACTTGTTCTGCTGCCTGGCACCCCCACCAGACCTCAGCTTAAAGTCATCTCTACCCGAGGTGTTCCCTGACACCTATCCCCTGGTCTAGAGGAGGGTGGCAAGGAGGCCTTGCTCCTGGAGCCTCAGGGACACAGGCACCCAGGCCCTCAGTGGGATGGGTACCCTGCCCCTCCCCTCTGCCCTCACCCTCTCCGGCAGTGATCTCTATCCCCAGTATCATTCTGGCATCTCAGGGCCTTAAAGAACAGTCACTGACACCTGAGCTGGTTTGGAGGGCCCCTGTCCCGGGCCCTGTATGTGACCCTGCAGTCCTTCCTTCAACATCCAGGCTGGGAAGAACTTTGCCCTAGAACACATCTCTGGCTGCAGAGCTGTGCTCTAGGGAGAGGGAGCGTCCTGGGGCTATGGGAAGACTCTCTCGGGCACGCAGCTCATAGGGGAGAGCTCATAGGTGTCCACAACTGCTCAGCAGAGATGACTATGTAAGCCCAGGGAGATAGTCACAGTGACTGGCTCCTCTGACGGTGAGGATGATCACCAGCCACACATCTGTCCGGCTGTCCCTTGGGTAACAGGGCTGAAATTAGGGCTACTGCCTCTCACAGTGGCACCCTCAGGGGCTCAGAGAGGCTTTCTCTGGTTTCCTGACCTGGGTTTGGGAAAGTGTTCAGTCCACAGTCTCATGGTGGAGCTCTGCATGTGAGCGTGCATGTGTGTATTGTGTGTTTGAAATTCTATGTGGGGGGGTATATGTGTCATACATGTATGTGTACGTGTGTGTGCATGTATGATGTGTGTACATATGTGTATGTGCACATGCATGTGTGATCTGTTTGTGCATGTGGGTGCATGTGTGTAAGTGTGTGTGTGTGTGTGTGTGAGGTGTGGGCAGTAGGGAGGATGGATGCTTTCAGAAGAGGTGAATCTGGGACCTTCAACCTTCACTTCATTGAAAATAAACCACTGTGGGGCTGGGGGGTGGCGGTGCCTGAGACATAAAGCAGGCAGCCCTCCCCTGTCAGGTTCCTCCAGGCTGTTCTTAGCCTCTGGCTTCCCCAGCACAGAAGCAGGCTGAGGAGGGAGGCTGTCACATCATTGTCAGCGAGGCCCCAGAGGGGTGCCTGGGTCCTGACCCTCCCTGTCTAGGCCAGAGATGCCGGTGGCGGCAGGGTTTCTGCAGAGGCCCCCGTGACTACACAGCACTCCGAGAAGAGAACGTGGGATGACTACCACCTGCCACCCCCAGGGTGGGGGAGGAGAGGGCTCAAGGTAGGAGAGGAATCTGGGCACAGTCAAGGAAAAGCTCACTTCCCTTTCTCTTGGTTTCTAGGAACCATGCCATCTAGGCAGCCCTGTGTGGGCCTCTCTACCTGGACCCCGGTGGAAATGCCTCTCCTTGCCATAGCAGGGCCAGCCCTGGCTGGCTCACAGAGTCACAGAGCCACACCGGGTCCCAGCAACTCTCGCTAATGTTTCCAGAGCCTCCTGGGGCGCAGGTTAGGTAGGAAACCTGTGTATACTGGAGAACGTTGGCTGCTGCAGGCAGTGGGAGCAGCTCCGTGCTGACACCCTTCCGCCAGCAGTACTGGGAGCTAACAAACACTTATGGAGCACTTGTGTGCCAGAGCTTGTCTAAGTGCTTGACATGCATTAACATATTTAATCCTCCCAACAAGCCTATGAAATGGACACCATTACTGTGCTCATTTTATAGACGGGGAAGCTGAGGCATAGAGAGGTTATGTAACTTGCCCAAGGTCACAGGGCCAGACAGTGGCAGAACACAGTAATCTTCCTCCTAGCAGTTTCACAATGCTTCTTCTCTCTGGGTAAAGTCCAGCTTCTGCTGGGCTCTAGTGAATCTCAGGTTTTGGGAAGAAGTTCGACATTAGCCTCGGGAACAGAGTAGCTGAGAACTCAGCTCCAGTGATGGTGGGTGGGTCAGACCAAGTCCACTTCTCAGGAGAGCCCTCGGGTGCCATCCTCTGCCCTCACCATGTACAGACTTTGAAACCTTCCCTTCAGGGTCTGTGCCAGTCAAAGCTGCCTTCTCTGGCTCCTTTCCTGAACAGCAGAGAAGGCACAGGCCACTGCACCCTGCCCCCAGGTGCCCTCCTGCCAGGCTTGCTTCCTGCTTAGACCTCCTTGGCCACCTCTGCCTCCAAGGATCCCTTCCCCCCACAGTTAAAGGGGTGTCACAGCTGACAGCCTGGCTTTAGAAATCTCTCTTGTCCTGCCGGAAAGAATCCTGCCAACTTCCTACCCTCACTCTAAGAAGGCGGAAGCTGTGCCCTCCAGGCTCTGACCGTTTCCGTGGGTGCTCCACACCCCTGCTTCATTTTGTCATCATCTACCCTGGAGTCCCTGAAGCCTTACCTCCTGCAACTGGACCTCGTGCAGTCTATTTTTTTAGATCTAAGCCCAATATTTTTTCAACAAAAATGCAGCATGGCCTTAGGCTTGGAATTTTTTGCCTGTTAATATTTTCTGGAATCCTGATGCTGATGTCCATCCCCACCCCACCCCCCATATGTTGTTGCTAAATGTATCCCTCTGAAGTCTTCAGGGGCTCATAGGGGCAGCATAGGGCCTCACTGTGAGAAAATGTCACACACACACACCCCCTGCCTGGGCCATGCACATTATGAGTTGAACGACCACCCTACCCAGCAATGTCAAAACTGTTTAGAGCTCCCTAGAAGGGGGTAAGCTGGACAGAAAGGAGATGAAGGGGACAGAGGGAAGAAAAGGCCCAGGGGCAGAGCCTGGCTGCAGAGGCTGTCATTTACCTTAGAGTCTGTCACAGATAAGGTTCCAGAAAGTACCTCTGAGAGTCTATGTGAGTGGGCTTCACAGCTGCGTAATGTGGGATGTGCTGAGTCAAAGCAAAATGAGACAAGCTTCCTGGAGGACTCTGCAGAACCTCTGGAAACGTCATGGAGAAGGTAGAGGGCAGCTTTCCCAGACTGATCGGCCCCCAGAATCCATGCTGATTTCATGGAAGATGTCCAGCCAGGACATGTTCCAGGCCCTACCACAAACCAGCTGGGGGCCTTGGGCTAATCAGAGCCCTCCCTAGGCCTCAGTTTCCCCATATAATGAAACTCCTAATCTAGGCCTAGCTCTTCAGGGGACTATTGTGCAAAGGCACAAGAAAGTAAGTCTCTGTGACCAAGAGAGCTTTGCACAAAGCACAGCACACTGCAGGGTGTGCTTACATTTCTAGAAGAAGCCACAGGGGCTGGGCTTTGCCACCCAGAGTGAGTTGCCTTGGGTTTCTTCATGTATTTTGTGAGCTATTTCTGCTGGGAGCAAAGGGACAGTTAGTCAATAGACAGGAGGTCATTGTGTGGTCTCTGAGCAGGCCTGATAATCCTACTCATGAACACTGATAACCTCATAGACCCTCCCTTCCTGAACTAACTCAGTCGGGCAGCAAACTAGTCACCAAGTACCAGCCCTTCTTATGATGGCTTTGGAGAGGCTCTTGAGAAGGCAAAAATAATGAATGACTGGGCTCTTGACAATGGCCATAAAAATTTAATTTAGCACGTAGCTCAGCTCTAGCACCCCTGGGAACACAAGAGGTCCTTGAGCTACAGCCCCATAGGGATCAGATCCACCTAAAAGACTGCAGTGTTGGGGCCTGGGATTTGGCTACACAAAATGTACAACCTAGCCAGGAGGACACTCAGGCTGGGGGCTTAAGCCCGTTCTACCTGACTTGAGGGAGGAAGTGGGATTAGAGCCAGACCAAAAATAGCACTGTGATTCTAGAACCTCTGCAAGTAAGCAAGAGCCTTCTCAAAGCCTCTCTCCCAGCCCTCCTACTCCCCTGTGTGAATGGGAGGAATGGTCAGTGGAGTTAATTGTCCTCTGGAATAAGCTTCAAATGGCTTCGTGTGAAATGTTCAAGAACCACTGGTGTGTACTAACTAATTTAGTTTGGACATTCCTTACCATCACGGTCACACCATTACTATTACCATGACTATCTTCACCACCTCCACTAGGCACCAACACTGCCACTGTCACCACCACCATTAACCCAACCATCACTACCACCATTGCCATCATCACTATCAAGACTATTAACCCTACCATTACCCTTAACATTGCCATCATCATCGCCACCAGTTCCACCACCATTACCAGCACCATTACCACCTCTCCCACCACCACCATAAACATCATCACCAAACCACCACCATCACCATTACCACTTCCCCTTCATCACATTTTCCATTTGCCTTTCACCACACAGAGGCAAGACTGCAAAATCCAACCACGAGCCCCTCTCTTCTGTTAACTGTCTGCAGCTCCAAATATTCATTTTCATATCTGTCTGCTCCAAATAAAAAAGATCAATCAAAGGCTGATCATATGAGGCTAGTCATACATTCTCATTTGTTTAGTACAACCCCAATTCATATCTGTTTTCCCTGCTTTGTTATTACAAATTCTCCTCTTTGACGCTCAACTACGCCCTGGTTCTCATGACAAATTATATGGGCATCTTGGTTAAAACCACATCCAGCTTCTGACTGAACTCCCAAGGACAGGCAGCCCAAGGTTGCTAACCCTGAACAGAGTCTGGCAGGCTTCCTGGGACTCTCATAGCGTGCAGATGCTAGCTGGGAGGGGTCACACCGCCCACGGTCTCTGATAACTAATGATGCCCCTGCCTCCCCCTTGTCTCCCTCCCTCTCACCTCCTCCTCCCTTCCAGGAAACCACTGAGAAAAGATGAAAATGGCACCAGTGTTTCTGAGTATCCCATGAGCTCTTCACAGAGCAACAAGGGGGTAGACGTGAACAATGCAGTAGTGTGAGTCTGCAAGCCTTGGACCTGCTGGCCAGAGGGACACCTTGGTGGCATAGAGGACATGGGAAAGCAGGAGGACATGAGCTGACACTGGGCTTGTCCAGGACTTCATTGCCTTGCAGGCCTCGAGACTCCTGAAGGGGAGACCATCCTCTTCCCGGGCTTGCCTCCAGACAAGAGACCATCCTCTTCCCTGGCAGCTCAGACACCAGGCTGAGCCTGGCTCACCCTGCATGATGCACAGGGGCAGCGTCGCCGCCTGAGGCCCTCCACACCCTCCTCCTTGTCTGGTGTTTGATCTGCTGACTGCCCCTGAGCTGCTGCCTAAAGCATACATGCTAATGAAGGGGGGGCTCTATTTTTCTGCTGGGGCAGGGAGGCCTCCTCCTTTACCTGAAAGAAAGGTGACCCAGGGCCCACCCCCCTGCCTGAAAACCTCTCCTCCTCCCAGGAAGCCCACCTGCTTCTCTGTTGTGTTGACGTTCTCAAGAGAAGCCATTGGCACAGCCAGGAGACAGACATCCCCTTTCAAAGGTGCTTCCCACATGTCTGTCTGTCGCCCCATCTGTGATTGTGTTTGGTCTTCAGGGCCTGTCTTCTCCATTCTGCCCCCACTGATGTGGGGGGCCCTTATGTCCTGACCACTTGCCATGCAGGGCTGCAAGCCCAGCTGGAAAAATCCTCTTTCAAGCAGAAAAGGGGTTCATTGACACTTGAGGGTAGTGTCTGGCCTTCCATGGGCAAAATAACTCACTAAACCCTAAGCCAAGGACCTCCAGACAAGGGCAGGAGCCGCTGCACCTATTCTCAGACTCATTCCCACACCTGACCCCATAGGAACCGATGTATTCATGTGAGCCAGGCCTTACCTTGGTTGGGCAGAAGCCACCACTTATGCCAAACCCACTGCAGGCACTCTATGAGGCCAGCACTGAGTCTGCCTGACCCCGTGGTACTCAGACCCAATCCCCCCTTACTTGGAAGGAGGTGATGTTCTTCCAGTGCCCATCTATAAATATCTCTTTCCGTGGTCTTATGCTTTAAAAGTACTGAGCCCTCCAGAGTGGTTGTAAGATGAAGGACTGAATGGGATGAGAGGAGAGGAACCCTCCAGGCTTGATAACCACCCCTCCATCCACTTGGCTTTTCTCCCAATGGCCACCTGCCTCATGGGGCACAGCAGGGAGGGCATGGAGAAAGCAGACTTATGATTTTGCATGCCTGGCAGATTAGGATGACATTCCTGACCCTGTGGCTCCTCTCACCACTTCACATGCTTGCTCAAAAGGAACCCTGTGAATTGAGTGGTTCTACTCTCAAGCCATGTAGGGATTTAGCTGGGTGGACCTGGTTTGCTTCCTAAACCACCAGGTGTTTGGGCCACAGGTAAGACTTTCAACCCAGGGAAGACTGACAGACATGTAAACCCATCTCCATTTGGGTAGAACCTTAAAATGTCCTAGTGCTCACTAAGCTGTCAGTGTGTCATTGTCCTGCCCCCAGTCAGTGGGAGCAGGCTGCAGATGCACCCTCCCACAAAGGGTTTTGTTTTCTCTTCTCTTTTCCTCCTGTGTGAGACTCATTATAGGTTTGGATTTGGATGTAGCTTTCCCAGTGTGCTTTGGCATTGGCACAGTGCTGCCCACAACTTTCTTCATTACTGCCCCAGCCTCCAGCCTGGTGAGCACTTTATAGAGCTCTTGGGATGCAGATCCAGGTGACAAGCCAGAGGATGTGAGTCAGAGGCAGGGCAGGAGTGAGAAGCTGGTCAGGGGTCTTAGCAGACCCCATCCCAGGTCCACACCCCCTACCAGAGGCCCAGATTGTGCAATTAGCCTAATCCCAATCTGCAGCCTGTTGGTGCCTACAGGACCCCAGGCTGCTCCCTAAGCTGCACCTGGACAGGACCCCAGCCCCGAGCACACCACTTTGGGCTTCACCAGTAACGAAATGCCTGTGCCTTGGGTGGTTGGGAGCTCAGGAGTGATCAGAAAGCAACCTCAGCCCGAGGGGAGACTTCTGCCTAGGGCATCATGGAATGCTGGCTGCTTTGCACCTACTCACTGGGTCCCCCCATCCCCAATCTTGGCTTAATTCAGGAGGCTCAGATTTTGCAATTAGCCTAATCCTCCAGCCCCAGGTGATTCTCCATGGTGAGGAACCATAGCTGAGCCATCACCATGCTTTGGGGCCTCTCCCCCTTCCCTGAGCCACTGACACATCCATGGTTCCAGTTTGGGGGCAAATTTCCCCTCAGTTGGGCTTATAAAATCTCTTCTCACCTAGTTGTGAAAACCAAGGGAAAAGCCCAGTTTTTGAAAAGGATTCATCAAGGACCAATTCCCCCAAACCCAGAACCAGACATTTGGAAGATGCATCTCATGGCAGACTCCAAGCCCCACCAGATTTTTAGCTTATGAGACTAAAGCAAATTTAAGTCTATGCCTGCCTGGTACTTGAGCTTAGACCTTTGATTTAAAATAAATCCACAGCCCCTAAACACAGACTGATCCTCAGACTAGTCTGAGCTCAGAGGTTGCCAATGAAATGCACATTCCTTCTCATTTCTCAAATAGATGTTCTTCAGCCTTCCCATAATTGAGCCCAACTTTGGAACTCGGTGAGATACAGGATCTCCCAGAGGTTTTAGGTGTTCCTCAGAAGCTTCTAAGGGAAGTTTTGGAAGAAAGACTAACAGGTGTAAAAATATAAACATATTATATATAGTTCTATATATTTAAAGAGATATCTATCTATATATATATATAAAATTATTGTACTCTCCGCATCTGTACAAAGTGTGAGTTAAGCTGCCCAGGTAGTGTGAGATGTGTAATGCATGAGTGTAAATACCCTAACATCTGCCTTCTTAGCCATGTGCCGTGTGTACAGGGCAGGCGACTCTTGTTGCTATGAGTTCTCTTAATGGGCAAATATACAGTCAATGCCGTCTTGTCCACTAACTAGCCATGAATGTTGACTTTGTGCTGAGACTTTTGTATAGGAAGCATTGTACCGGCAGCATTGGGGGTGCGTTGTATGTTACAAGGAAGAAAGCACCATGACTTTTTTATTTTCAATAAAAATATACTTATAAAAATGGCTGTCAGTTGTCACTTGTGGTGGGTGCTGGGCCCTGAGTGTGGGTAGAAAGCAGAGGACAGGCTGAGGTGCAAGAGGAGGGGTTCCTCAGTAGGCTCCTGCTATAAACCCAGGACTGGGCGAGGTGCCTTGTATGTGTTATTTCTAAGGCCGATCCTGGCCCTCAGCACCCCACCCATCACCTTGATCCTTGACTTAACTGAAAATAGGACTACCTTCCCAGTTTGCCTGGGACTGAGAGATAGTCCTGAAGCCAGGACTTTCAGAGATAAAAGCAGAAAAATCTCAGGCACACGGGACAAGCAGGTCAGCTGAATTTGATGAGTGCTCATAGGACTCACAGGAGGCACAAATCAGCTGACCATGCTGGAGGAGAGAAGGTGGGCAGGGTCAGGCCTCCGAGAATGTCCATCCCTGTGAGGACAGTCTGGACCCACAGGCTGATCAGAAGTGCCCGGTGCCGGACTAGCTGTGTGGAGAATCAAGCCCTGCCCTGCACCCTCGGCTCACCTGCTTACTGAAGGCAGTGGTGAGCAGGCCACCTGCCAGGTCATTTTCCTCTTCCAGCCTCACCCTCAGGTAAGCTTCACCAAAGCCACCATCTACCCCCAGCTCTTCTAGGGGAGACGTTTCCTGCCCTGGGCTAGGAAGGATGTAGGAAGAAAGGAACGGTTGCTCTTGCAGTGTTGTTGTCCTCATCTTTGGAGTAAAGACACAGGTCTAGAGCTGGAGTGTGATAGCCAAGGTCAAGCAAGGAGATGGGGATGGGGCTGGAGTTTGAACCCAAAACCGGTCGATCGAAGGGACCCCAGACCAGACTACCCCCCATTGGTGTGCTGCCAGGCCCACCACCCCTGCCTGGGCTGCCCATGGCGTCAGAGTTAGTTCAGTGAGAGGCTACTAAGAGTAGCCATGCCCGGGGTTGGGACAGGTATTCTCCCTCCCCCTCGCCCCGCCCCCGCCAGCCCACAGCCCAGGGGATGGTCAGCTCAGTGCAGGGACTCAGAGAAGGGCCTGTGTCCTAGATATCTGGGAAGTGGAGGGGACTGTGGAAGTTCCTGCAGAGAGCCCCCCCACGGGATTCTAGGAGCCTTTTATGGAGAACTGCCATTTGTGAGCATACAGTAGTCACACGGGGGAAGGCAGCCATTGTTACAGTTACTGTCACTGCCATCGTTAATGAAAGCAGCCTGTGCCATCTGGGCACAGTGAGGGCTCCTCTGCCCACTGGCCACTATGTGTGTCCTTCCTTGGTTATGGTAATGAGTCAGTGGGACACCTGTGGCCTCCTACATATCCTTGTGCCTCTTGGCCTGGGCAAGCCCAGAGGCCAGCAGGAGTCTAGGCCAAGAGCAGGAGGCCTATGTACTAGGCTCTGCCCACGTGTACAGAGCCATCCTGGGAGAGCCAGTTGAGGACCAGTCAAGCATACCGGTGCTGGGAGCTGTCATCACAGAGATGCAGGGTCAGGGCCCATCTAGACACCTCCTGCATCTTTCCAAACCAACACAACAAACTGCGCTCCAGCTATGTGACAGTCCTATGTCCTGCTCTGGGGTCCTGCTGCTGCCAGAGAGGCGTAAGACACAGCAAGACACACAGGGCAACCCACCTGGTACCCGGTGGAGAGGCAGAATTATTGTCTCCGGCCCATGGGAGCAGGTGCCAACAGGAGTACCAGAACACGGCACTGAGACACACCACAGGGCAGCATCAGGAAAGATGGGCCCTTGAGGCTGAGCCAGCTGTCGTGCTGGCTGCCAAGTAGCAGCTGGCTCACTTATGTGGTCTTGATGTGGCTTCACCTTTGGACATGTTTCCTCACCCCCACCTAGCTAGGGATTGCCCCACTGGACCCCCCTACCTTCCCCTCCTCCAGCACTCCCACCCTCCCCCACTTTAGAAAGTATGTTGGACATTCCATCTCCATCCCTAGCCAAGCAGCACCCTCAGCCCAAGCTCCCGGCGCTGGTGTCTGCCTTTTACAGCTCCCACTCTGTGAGGTCCCAGCCCCCGCTGGTGGAGTGGCCCCAGGCCTGTCCTCCCCTTCTCTCGGGGCTCTCCTGAACAC